GCCGGCCCATTCTGGAAGTGTCCTCCTCGCAAAGCAACGCCACTGCCGTAGCATGTTCGTGGTGAAGAATCCATGACCATATTCCAGAGAAAGTTAAACTTGTGTGGTATCTAAAATGTCGAAAAGAAAATAACTGATCTCAAAGAGTGTTAACTTCTTTATTTACTGCCTATTACACGGCAGGGTATTGTTTGTGATACAACTACAACGATACTGAGATATCCGCAAAACTCCGGTCCTCTGGTGTCTACAGTGGGGAACGAACTCGCTGTTACCCTTTCCGGGTTCTAACGCGTTCACCACCACACCATGCCACCTCACCAAATCAATCCCGTTGACAGTTGATTGCTGATGACACTGATCGATAGAACTAGCTGAGAGGCGGAAGACGAAACGAAGGACCCGCATGGTGTAGTGGTGAACGCGTTATCCCCCGTAAAGGGTAATAATGTGTGCGTTCACCACCGTAGACACCAGCGGTCCGTAGTCTTGCAAATATTTCTGTATTATTGTGGTTGACCACGAAGACCTTTGCACCGCTGTCGAACCCACAACCGAACTCGATCACGTGCACTTACCCACGCTATGGGTAATATCTGGGAGACATCCAAAGGCAGTTTCGTTCATTTATCTTCTATCATTTATTATCATTTATCTAGTTTCATTTATCACTTATTTCCGTACTTTTGCTTTGTTTACCTTTACCTTTATGTTTTTTTTTATCTGGAACGTGATTGTGCGAAAAGTACGTGAGCGTTATGAGATGATTCTGAAAGGTACTATTTCTCACCCATTTAGGTATCTCAGCTGTATACATTTGTCGTTATGACAAAAAAAATCCATTAGAACCATGAAAGTTAGTGCGAGCATAAGTGATCTATTCGTTTGTTTTCGTTTTATTTCATATGACTCGTCTTTCATATTTACTAAATCGATCCCACCACTTTCCTCATTCGATTCGTTTTCCTGGCATCCGTCATCCACCAAGGTCTTCCAACTTTTACATCTGGCTTCGGCTGTTTCGTATTTTCCTTTCGTCATGAATGTCGCTGAACGCAAGTCAAGTCGGTTCCCTTGAAGTTCTGAGGTAGCCGAGATAGTGTTTCCGCTTGGATTGCAGAGAGTGAACTTTTCCCAGACAGACTTTGTGCCAAGTTCCTGACCACGGAGTGATGAGAGGCTTGGTGACCCTGGTGCAGAGTTGAACTAGCGCCGCGCTTGTGTTAATCGACATGATTATCACTGCGCTACCTGCCCCTGAATATGAATACTTACTTGATACTTGAACGGCCCGTTATCACTAGTTGTGCGGGCTCCAGCATAATCACCGTTTATCGGAGATTTGCTGGTTAAGCCATTCCGGTTCCCTGGAATCCCGAGGTCAGCCTGGTCAAAGTCTGCCCCAAAATATGAATGATAATTAGGAATTCTATATCCCGACTGTCACTGAACCCTCATATCGTTTAAACCCGTATAGTTTCTCCTCCTATAAACGTTTTATGTTCAACTTATGAAAAACCTAATGTAGTAGAAATTACACTCACATTTAAGAGAACTCTTCGACCTTAAAGATGAGATGCAGTTTTCAGACATTGATTACTCTTTGATATATCTTAATGTCATCAATGATTTAACGCGCTTCCAAGTTTAATTCTCCAATTTGTGCGTTCAACATCAAACAACTTCAAATCCAATGCATCCGTGAATGTCGATATTGGCGACCGATCTATAGGAAAAAAATATAGAGAAAAAGGGAGGTATATGCACATCCTTTTTAACTCCAGGTTTTCCCGTTAAAAAACTTCCATCCAGGCATTGATCAATCCCTGAGGGGTGCGCAATGCATTCGACTTCATTAAGCATCGTTGGAGGCGAATGAATGCATATCTGGCCTTTACAATGACTCGCGGTAGATTACCGATGTATCGGGCCAGTGCTGCTATCCTCCCAGACAAGTCTGGTACCAACTTACCGATCCCGGACGGATGGAAGGCGTGGTGAGCATGGGTCGTGCGATCGAATCCATGTGTATTGTACCAAGCCTCTGATCACTACTCTACCCGCTCCCGTTTCCCCATAGTAGCTAATAATCGAAGACTTCATGACTACGAATCCATCGGGATAGAAGCACTTGTTTGATACGTTGGTAGGCCCTCGAAGTGATGACATAGGCTCGAAATGCATCCACCAAAGCTACAATACTGGGTGAACGAGGCACCACACATCCCTTAGGATATCCTGACATTGTGTCATTGAGAAATCTGATTTGTTTTTCTGTGAAGTATTTTGTCATCAAAAACGATAATGAACGCCTTGTATACTAATTTGTCCAACTTGGAATGTTACTGTTATCATCGTAACACCAAATGACAGCATTGAAGTCGTGGTTAAATTCTTCTTTGCTGTTGAACTGGGTATGAACATGAAGCGGGTGCCTTAGGATCCGACTTCAATTTAGTCTAGGCACGAATAATGAAAATCCTCTTAGATTTTACTACCGAGGTTAAATGACGGTCGCTTTGAAAACCTTCTTAGATTGTTTAGCTAACATGTGGTTAGCGCAAGAACGGAAAAAATGTACGAGGAAGTTTCTGTAATATCCTGGTGTTCTCTAAATAATGGGAGAATGAAATGTGATGCTCCTGATCGTTTCCCAATCCACAACCAAGTCCATTTTTCCCGCCATTACGAGGTATTACACGAAGGTAAGTTCTAATCAAAAGGGCGCGTGTGGCGCAGTGGTCGAAGGCGCCATGCAACACACACGTGGAATCCATCCCCGCGCCCATGGCCCACCAAGCCTTCCATCCGTCCGGGGTCGGCAAATTGGTACCAGACTTGTCTGGGAGGATAGCAGCACTGGCTCGATACATCGGTAAGTGACCACGAATTATGGTAAAGGCCAGTGAAATAATCCTATACCTATAACGATGTTGAGAGATTTCCAAAACTCCGGACCGCTGGTGCCTGCGGTAGAGACCGAACACGCTATATCCTTTGCGGGGCTAATGCTTTCGCCACCATACTATGCAGTTCCCTCGCTACGCTTTTCTGTCAGTCGTGTTATTGACTTATAGCTGCTATCTGGTATGTACATATGCAGTGTAGCAGATCTTACCATAGAACTTCATGAACCTGATTCCTCGCAACTAACCTGGTAAACTCCGGGAAGAAAAGGAAACTTTTAGGAGAAACACTTTCAGGACGAGTTGGAAAAGCCGTGGCACCACGGCTCTCGAGACTTCAACAAACGAAAATCGTGCCTAGCCAGCAACTAGTTCTTCGAGATTCGTGAAGAGAAGTCATTCAAGTATCCGAAAAAGTGATAGATGATAGATGCTGTCCATATGATTCAACGACGAATCCGAACTCGCTCGCCATCCAACTTGGTTCTTTCCCGCCGACCCTTCGACCACGCGGGGCTCGTTTTGGCGTCGTGCCAATGGAGTTGCCGTCGCCGTTCCCTACGTCCACTGCGCGTTTTCGTCCCAGCAGAACTGTTTGCTCTCAGTACTGAAATGAGTTCTGCTTCCCAGTTTACTGCAAACGATGGTCCTAACGTGGACTTCTGTCATTGACAAACTCTGTTCCGTTCTCTTACCGGCGGAAACAATAATGATTTCAAATGTGTCCACTCTTTGATTTCGTTCTTTCTTTGATTTCCTCCTCGTTCTCTTTGATTTTCAGATGGCCTAGACGACTCATACTTAAAAGTATTTTGGACAAGACATTTGGAAAGGTATTTCATATCTATTTGGGTATCTAACAGTAATTCTAGCGAAACGGTGACATCTGGACAGAAATACTGGTCAGTATCTTCTCGTTGTTTTAAATACTACAAATCAGTGATAATAGTCATACTGTGCGTTAGCTGACTTTCCAGAAAGAAATCCTGAAAGTCCTTACTGGTAGTCCTCTGCTTATTTCTGTTGTTAGTTTACTTACTTGCTTGGATACTTGTAGGGCCCGTCTTCGCTGTTGTGCGGGCCACAGCATAATCTCCACTTTGTTGGAGTTTTGTTAGTTTAGCCATTGTGGTTCCCTGGAGTCCCGAGGTCATCCATGCCAAAATCCGCCTCAGGTCATCACCACCACAAGCAGTCGCCGCCCTTGTGGATCAGAGGGAGGTTTGCCACTATGCGACTAGATTGATACCAGGACGGTGGTGGATCTTAGTGTTGGTTTACTATATGATCAGTTTTATTGCTTTTAATTGCCACATTTGTAGAATTGGCTTTACTTCAAGTGGGGATTTTTATTTTAACAAATCGTTTACTACTTTTCCAAGACCTCATTCTTCATACTGGGCAAACCGGGTTCCATGTGGTCAACAGCCCAAGCTATGTCGATGGCTCAATGACCTTCTCGTCTCCAATGTGTAGTGGTGTTCGTTCTTCTTACAGTCCTTACAGTACATCCTTTAAAGGATCATCGAGTTCACTAGTACTTCCTTCTACTTAATGTGACTACAATGCTTGAAAGAGAAACATAGGTCTCTGTCGACTTCTCTTGTTTTCTTTATTCCAGCCACTGTACGGAAACTGCAGAGTACTTTATAAGTAAACATATTATCAATAATATGTAGTTACAGCCACAATTGTGCTGAAATATGAGCAGAACTCTGAACCTCAGTCGCGCTTCGACCCTGCGATTACCCTTTCACTAAAGAAGGGCAAAACGAGGGTCTCGGTTGGGCGCAACGCTACTTCTTTTCGTTTAGCAAAACAAGAGGTAGTAGGTTGTATTATACCAGTTCTTAGTGGACAGCTATCGTGTGTTAATTGTAAAGATGTCCTTTTTTATCGTTTTCATCGTTCAGAACTGTTGATGTAAAGTTAACATTACATAAACCTCGTAGCTTTTTCATCTCGCCAGCACGTGCAGTTTTTTAATACATTATTTCGGTGTCAAATTTGTATTTGGTGTCTCTTGATGTGTCGTCGGTGCAGAGATGCAGCCACATGAATGGGATTTCTCCATTTCCAGATAGGTCTTCGTCTATGGGGTTCGACAAGGAATGCGGTCAGAGCGATCCTGAACGACCGCTCCTGCTCCTCCTGAATGACCGCGTCTTCGATGTCTCCCGTTTTGCCTTGAAACATCCAGGTGGCGAGAAGGTGCGCGTTTTCTCCTCATTCGTATGCTAAATTTACTTTTAGCACTAAAAATATATATAAATATTATAAGTTCTAAGCAAGGATGCTTACTTGGATACTTGGATGGTCCATTTTCACTGGTTGTGCGGGCCCAACATAATTGCCGTTGTTTCGGAGTTTTCCTGGTTTATCCATTTTGGTTCCCTGGAGTCTTGAGGGCAGCCAGGTCAAAGTCTGCCCCAGATCGTCACCACTGCAGACAGTCGCTGCGCTTGTGGGTCAGTGGGAGATTTGCCACCATGCGACTTTGATACCAGGACGGTGGTGGATCCTGGTATTGGTTTACTTTTAGCTAGGTTTCTTGATGGAAACGCCGGACCCCTTCTTAGCTTGGGAGCCCCTGCCAGGGGATTAATCCCCTGCTGTACATCGTAGTCCGACACCCAGGAACACCTCCCAGCCACGATGAGGTGATAAACCGTTAGGAAGATACTTATTTGATAGCTAACCGAAATCAGATGGTAGTGGGAGGGTTGAGACCAGAAAGAGTATTCCTTACTCTTAATGATTTACAAAAAACGTATTTCCGCAAAAGTCCATTGGCAGGTAATTTAACTAACAACTCTGACTGCTATTTCATTTTAATCACGATATCTACTCTATGGAATGTGAGGATATACCAAGACGGTGGTTGATCCCGGTATTGGTTTAGTCTTAGTCAAACTTCCGGATGGAAATATCAGTTTCCTTTTCAGCTTGAGAGACTCTGCTGAGGGGATGAACCACCCTCTGTAAATCGCAGTCTGAGACCCAGGAATACCTCCTATCCACAATGAGGAGGTAAACCGTTGGGTTTAATTGAAGAAATCGATGGGTGCAAACACATGAACAACTCTTTGAGAACTTGATGAAGAATTCTATTTTAGGATCTAAACAGAAAGAGTGGTGTGGGGAGCAGTGTACGTAGCAAAAATTTAAGCGTGGTTACCATCGTATTGTTTAAACTATCTTTTGTAACAAAGGAAATTGAGATCAGTATGGCCTCCATTAATTTCATATCTTATCTCTACCTGCAGTTATTTCGTTTGAACAGTTAGTGTTTCTTAAGGAAAAATACTGCTTTGAATGTTGCGAGAACATTTTATACTCTTACCGAGTTTTCAGCTGAAGATTCATCCATCAACGATTATACAGATTTCTACCTATCGTTGTATCCCATAAAATTCTACTTCATTGCCAAAAATATTTTCAGGTTTTACGAAAATTGGCTGGTGAAGATGTGAGTGAGTTTATGCGAGGTGAGCGTCGGATACTTGGAGTTAAACATCAACATTCAGAAGCGGCTTACCAGATGTTGGAAAAATACGACATAAAGAATTTACAAAAGGTTTGAACACGTTTACATTTTTTTTGTCGAAATTTTATGAGAATAGAATATGTGAAGGGCGATCCTACATTGGATTCTAAGCATGTTGGAATTCTTTCGAGAGTTGGAAGTCTGGGACCAAACTACTGGATGTGGATTCATCAACCATACGAAGGGACCTTAAGGTTTTGTGGAGATTTTTGGTTTTTCTTTTTGTTCCTTTGAAGTTTCTGGTATTCTGATTACTTGTCTTGTTTTCTATTTACTTCTCTTCTTACAAAATTCACAACAGACTCTTCGATTCTGATTTTCTGGAATCTCTGACGCGTACATCCTGGTGGGTAGTTCCTGCAGTGTGGCTCCCAGTTTCGGCACTGTTCAGTGTCTTTGCTCTGTCGGACTTGTACAGCCGTTGGAGTGGGTTTTTGTTCATTCGTTTCGTTGTTTCAGAGCCATATTCAAGCTCTCAAAGTGTTTCTTAAACGAAAGTCTGGGTTACTTTGCTTAACATACCGAAGTCCATGCTTTACGTTTTGTTTTCCCTTATAGTTCATATTATCGATGTTGTTAAAGTTTTTCCACCAGTTTTGTATTTCAATTTTGGTAAGTTATACAATGAAAAGAATGTTTAGTGTTAAATAGGCATCAGGATCGGAGCTATTCATCATAAATATCGTTTTTCTCGTGTTCAGTTGAATGCTTGCCATTCTGCAGTAGCTGTCCAATTCCACATATCCACAATCTTAAATCATATGGTGGTGGTGTCATAAACCAAGCTAATCTGCTGTAGGTACCGGCCTCGTTAGCTTTCATTCTCATATTTCCGCATTCCCCTTTCCATTGTAGAGCTGAATAGGTTTGTAAGATATAATGTTTCTTTGACAAACCCCACTCCATATCGATGATGATGTCCTTATTGGATGACGCATTTCGAAAGTTACTACGTAGCCTACGGATAGTTATTATGTTCTGCGTAGAGATATTCTGGTTATCCATTTTCCATGACCACTTATCTCTCTTGTGAGTTGAAACTCATTGAATCTAGAAGGCACCAGCATGTGGTTTCTCAGATGTTTAGGTCTAATTGTTTCGAAACCGAGTGCTGCATAGTGAGATCACATGACATGTCATACTTTGGACCAGAGCCGTTGATATCGTATAGTCATTCCCATAGGAATGGTTTGCAAAGAGGTGCATTTTGGTTTCGAAGCGGTCAGAGTGGAATTTGCGTTGATTTCTGTTCGATTCTGTATCGAGAGACTATTCCCTCCACAAGACTTCTGTGCAACTATGGCATAGTCTTGAGTCCAACTTCAACCACTCGAGCATCTACAAAATTTTGTTAATTTAAACATAAATTGATGATTGGCTTTAGCTTATGCGGTAGTGTTGACATGTAAGCTCGGCGGTTTGTGGAGAAATGCATCTTTTGGTAATTCTTTAATCCTCGACTTCAATGACAGCGTTGGATTTTACGATCGTACATTTTACCTCATTGATGTTCTCAGTAATGCTACCTTTACAAGAAACTAATTATGGAGTGAAGAAATCCTAATTTTTGACGTGTTCGAAGTTTCGGTTCCTGAAGATGTTTCATGGTCAATCTCTTCTCTTCTTAGTCAGGCCCGATTACTCTTTCCTTTTTTTTTTCTTTAACTTTAATCGTCAGATACTCATTAGTGCGGTAATTTGGGCGTGTGTTATAAGTACAGATGATCACTATACTCGTTCCAGGTTTCCTTACAAAAAGCCAATAGATTTTAATCACCTGTCACCCGTTGTCCCGTTCATCGTCGAGTGACGCGAGCGGGCGCCAGTAAATCTATTTTTCCTTGTCGCGTGCAAGAGTAGCCTAGTGGGTTCTGCTCGCTCTAGGCTCTTCGCGAAGAACTCTGATCATCGGATCGGTGGTATTCCTGTAGTACGTTTGTCATCGCGAGGAATCCAGTCACCAACGGCTTTTGCCCATCGGTTGTCATTCATACGCATTACGTGTCCGGCCCACCTTATCTTCGACTGTTTGGCGTACAGAACGGCATCTTTGATTTTTGATCGTTGACGGAGATCGGAGCTTCGGATCCCATCCATTGCTTGTGTGGAACGGGATACTCCTAGCATCGTCCTCTCGACTGCGCGTTAGATAACACTGAGTGACCTTCCATTCTGCTTACGCAGCGACCAGGTTTCTGACGCATACGTTAGGGCAGGAAGTACTGTTGAGTCGAAAAGGTGGGCAGGGAGTCGGGTTTTCTTTATTCTCTTCACTACATTCTCGATGCTCTTGAAAACTACATAGGCCGCTAGTTTCCTTCTGCTCAGCTCTGGAGCTGAGCCGTTCATCATATTGATTTGCTGACCTATGTAGACGTAACTTGGGTATTTGGAGAAATTCGTTCCGTTGAGCGTGAATTGGGCATACGAAACCAATCCGTTCCTCATGAACATCGTTTTTGTGGTTTAGTCGAAGACCAATCTTTCCACAGACTTTATTAGAGTCGGCAAGCATACGTTCCGCTTAGCTAATGTTTGATATTATCAGCAAAGCGAAGATGATGTAACTGCCCACCACCGATTTTCACTCCCATATTATCCCATTCCAATGTTCGGATGACATTCTGGAGGATGGCGGTAAATAATTTTGGCGAGATGGTATCGCCTTGTCTAACTCCTCTTTTGACGTCAATGTTAATATCGTTGTAGAATGGTGATATCTTGGTTGTGAAATTTTTGTACAGCTCACGAAGAATCTTTATGTACTGACTAGGAACTCCTTGGCTGTCAAGGGTTTCCAAGACGCCTATCTCAACTGAATCAAAGGCCTTCTGTAAATCGATAAAAGTGAGACAGAGCGGTTTTTTGTACTCTCGCGATACTTCAATGAGCCGTGTTACTGTGTGGATGTGGTCCATCCTACTAAATCATCTTCGAAACCCTGCTTACTCACATGGCTGTCTTTCGTCTAGTGTTCTGTCAGTCCTGTTTAGGATGACTCGTGTGAAAAATTTGTAGACGACAGACAGTAAGCAGATTGGGCGATCGTTGCCGATATCGTGTAGGTCACCGTTCTTGAACAATAACACGGTCTTCCTAGTTCCACTAAGTAGGGATCTTGATTCAGTCAGGTAACGTGTGAAAAGCCATGCCAGTGTGTTTACGAGGACTGGCGGAAAGTTCTTTAGGTGTTCTGGTCTTATCGTGTCCGGACCTGGTGTTGTTCCTTTTTTTCACCGACGAAATGCCATGTCGGATTTCGGAAGGAGAACCGGTGGTGAAACATATCCATCCTCTTTTATTTCATATGGCAGGAAGTGGACGTGGCTATCGAAGAGATCTGAGTAGTATTCGTGGATGATTTTCTCCATTGCCTTTTTGGACGCTGTAACTGTTCCGTCTGGGCGCTGGAGTTCAATCACTTTGGTCTTGTAATTGATGAAGCTTCGGTGGACTCTGCGAATGCTTTTCCCAGCCTCTGCAGCTTCGACCGTTACTGCTGCTCGTCTCTCTTTAAGATCTTTTATCCCCTCTCTGCATTGTTTTGCATGTTCGGACGCTAGTTCGCGGTTTCCTGCAGCTCGTGCGATTCCACGCTGGCGTATCAGCTCGAGTGTTTCTGGAGACAAACGTCTCGGTTTTATTTTTTTAATAGGTTTTAATAGCTCGTCCTAATCTTGTTGTATTACGAGCTTTCTTATGTTCAAGAAAATAAGCATGATGGAATGGCTTGTTTTTTTAAGACTATTTCTGACGACCCTTAACCTGCTGGAAACGAGGATGTTGCACTTTACCTGAGGAGAAGGTGGACTAAGTAGACTGGTTTTTGTTAGTCTAGCTTGCACCTCCGTGAACATTCTGAATATACGTAGAGATGTCAACGCATGTGTACGTGGCTGTGTTTGTATAAATGCGGATTATATCCTACATGTTAATTCGGACCTAAAGTCAAGTGAGTAAGACATAGATAATTCGGAGTTGTATCTCGCAAATAAGCCTCTGGTTTCTTCCAAGAAAGCCCGGCACGCTATTTTTGATGGGAACTTCACACAAGGCATTATTTAACAAGCTTGGTGTCCTATATTTACCGCCTCAGCTATCAAAAACGGGGGGCATCTTTCTCGTGATCGCTAAAGAGCCGCGTATTCTTCTTTTTTGGGGAAGGCGATTACGGAGAGTTTCCTTATCGAAGTGTTCGTATGAACTGCGAAAAATTGTGCAGAGGAACCTTCTATGGAATTATTGCAGCAAAGCAATGAAATATGATGAGCAGGTGCCTGAGTTCATTATAATGACAAAAGGTGTTAATAGTGGTTCATAATTCTAGGGATGCTCCTCTTATCGTTAGATAGTCTCCTAGTCGAGTGTAGTATAATGAGATAGACCACATCGTAGAAAGTCAAATTTTGCTTAAATGATGTTGCCTTTTTCGAAAGTTTCATCACACGAGGTCGAATCGTCAAGGTTTTTCAAGCAATGGGTTTGAAATTCCAAGAAACGGAGTTCCAGAGTCATCGTGAAGTTGAATTTGTCAGCGTTGTAAGAGATATTTTGACAAGATAGTGAGGTAGACGTCACCGATGGAATTAACTAACAATTCGATCTGCGTCCAGAATTGCTGAATTGAGGCCGAAAAACTTACTTTCGTAAGTTGCCGAGTAATATCTATTTACAGAAACTATCGAATTGCTACATTATCATCGGCATCGGATAGGGGTGGAAAAGTCGGTTTTGTATGGTCGAAACTATTAAACACCACTCTCGAGAACGTCATGCGAAAATTGTATACGTTGGCTTGGGGAACATTGTGAGTGCCAGCCACACGATAGGAATGATAGGTTTTCGATTTAACCATCAGGAAGAAATGTTAGTGGGCAACGAATTCATTCACAATACCCCAGCGAAACCAAGCTGAATGCAACAGTAGCTGTTGTTAAAATTTCGCTTTATTTTAGATTTCTAATACCTACTGAATACTGTTGTTGTTGAAGGTGTTTACTACGGAGCTCTTATTTGGGCCAGCTGTTTCGTATTAGGAGTGTTGACATGGACTCTCTTCGAGTACTCACTTCATAGATGGATATTTCATTGGAAACCGAGTCCAGAGTCACCCTTTCAGATCGTACTGCACTTTCTGCTTCATGGTAAGCTTGAAACTGTCCTTTTATCAGTCTGTGAGCGCCTTCTATATGAGACAATTCATTCCATGTTTTTCTCTTTAGCTTTTTTAATTTTAAGGGCTACACCACAAAACCCCAATGGATACTGGTCGCCTCGTCTTTCCACCATTCCCTGCTTTCTTCATTGTTGCACTCTTCTATGCCATTTATTCCCGTATTTTGCCTTGGTTAGCAGCCTTTACAACTTATTTACTTTGCTGCAAACAGATGTTGCTTAGCATTTTACTTTTACAGGAATATATTCTGCGCCTTCGGTAGCGGAAAACTTTTCGGTTATGTTGGATACGATATGATTCACTATTATCTTCATCATGGAAGCCCACGTCCATTGACAAATATGCACTATAGAAAAGTGTACCATCATAACCATCATTTCAAGGATTTTGATGCAGGTATATTTACTTGAATACTTGGATGGCTCGTCTTTACAGGTTGTGCGGGTCCCAGTATAATTCCTATTTTTTCGGAGTATTGCTGGCTTAGCCATTGTGGCTCCCTAAAGTCCTGAGGTCAATATGGCCGTTCTGTCCCAGGTCGTCACCACCACAAGCAGTAGCTGCCCTTGTGGTTCACAGGAAGATTTGCCACCGTGCCACTACTCTGATACCAGGGTGGTGGTCGATCCTGCTATTATTTTACTTTTAGCTGAGCTACCTGAGTGAAACACCGGACTCCTGCGCTTAGGAAACACTGCTAGGAAATGAATCACCCCGCTGCACATCGCAGCCCGACACCCAGGAGCACCTCCCAGCCATGATGAGAGAGTAAAATGTTGGGGAGATGATGTAGGTATAAAAGTCTAAAATTTGTACTTCTTTTATCGTCTTACGCCATTTTTTTTTGTTATGTTGAGAAAATTCGCAATGCATTGTTGTTCATGACTACGTCATTGTTTCTCTCCATCTTTTATTTCAATGAGAAACATTATTTATGAGCTATATTTATCTCCTTTTTAGCTTTAGCTCTGACATCCATAGCACACAACTTTCAGATTCATAGTTGATTGTTGCAGGTTTTGGAATTTCCACTTCACTTTGGGACTACGTCTTCAGTACCGTTGGAATGGGGCCGCTGTAGAGAAGTGCTTTGGTTTTATTCTTTTGCTCAGCTGTTACTTATTGTACCCGACTATTTTTTCACAGATTTTTATAGATTTTACAAAGAGATACGTATAGATATTAGAGAAACAAGTTTTTTAGATGTCCTCTTCCTCTTGACAGATTCGAATTGTACTTTATTCCAAAGAGTTTCTTGTATGTAAATGTTCCTTGTCGATACGTGTCATTCATATTCCGTGTTTTTTGGAAGTGTTTTGAGATTTTTGAGTTCCACCGATATTCAGTGTACTCCATTTCATATGACAGGTTGCTATGCTATGTGATTATCCATTGAATTATATTCCATACTAGTCTTTTCTAAAGTGAAAGTCAACATTTCCAAGACGGATTTTTTCCTTTATATGAAGAATTTTTTGATATCTTTTCTTAAATTGGACGTTTATTGACTTTCAGATACCTACATCTGTTGATTTGACTTATGTATGTATCTTTGGAAGCAGTAAATTATTTAACACTGTTCCTATGGACATGAACTTTTATGGTCCATTAATCCTAGCTTATATGGAGATATGAAGTAATGTTTTAACGGATTTTCATCGAGTTTTGCTTAGGACACATCAATTTGGGATGTTTTTGAGATACCATTTGGACGAGGAAGGTAGACGAATTTACACACTTAAGGTCTGAGTATATTTTTCTTATTTCCTTCACATTCTCTTAACTGCTAGTTTATTCTACTATTTTCATTTCACGATTAGTCTTCACATCTACTGTTCGAATCTCAGCACTCTTCACATTCGACCGGTTCCCTCGCATCCATTATCCACGATTACCTAATCTTTACGTATGACTTCACCCGCTGCTTGAGATTTTTCCTTTTATCACGAATATCGTTGAATGCTTCTAGAGTCAGTTCTTCCTCGCGTCCTGAGATAACCAGCGTAGAGTGTTTCCACTTAAGTGCACAGAGTAGAATTTTCCCAGACAGGTCCGGTACCAATTTCCTGACACGGCAGAGATCAATGGTTTGGTGAGTGTGGCGCGAGATCGAACCATCATCGCGGTCGTGATAATTGGCGTAACTACTACTGTGATACCCACCTCCTTATTCTTATTCTACTATTACTCTGCCATTACATAATGATCTGGCCGTGGCTTCACTTGAAATCCTTCCGAAGTTTGAGTGGTGGTGCGTATAACATGTAAACATGAGTTTTGTTGCCAAGTAGGCGGAACTTCTGACCACTTCATCACCTGAAGATGCTCATCTTGCTAGCTTACTCTGTAATAGAATAGATTCATAAAGGTAAAAGAATAAGATTTTCGGCGTTGATCAGTCCCTGACGAATGTACCGCGCATTCGACTTCATTAAGCATCATTGGAGGTAATTGAATGTATGTGTCCTTTACAATGACTCACGGTAACCTACCGATGTGTCGAACCAGTGCTGTTATCCTCCCAGATAAGTCTGGTACCAATTTACCGTCCCCGGAGGGATGGAAGGCTTGGTGAGCCTGGGGCTCGGGATCGATCCCATGTGTGTTGCAGGAGGCCTCTGACCACTGCGCGACACGTTGAATAGATTCGTACGGTGAAGAATGTGCACAATTAGTGATGGTAACTTCCTACAATTAATGCCAATCTTGCTGTTCTATTTTAGTCGCTTTTATAGTTTTATACATGTGTAATAAACCGTCTTAGTACCAAAGGTCGAAGTAAAAAATAACAAAGAAGGGTCTTACTCTCGGCAACTTTTTCTAAGAAATTCCAGAAAACTGCTCCTGACGGCACAGAGACCGTATCAGCCCATCCAGCTCGTTTCTCACCTGAGGACAAATTCAGTAAATATCGTGTAATCATAAAGAAGCGCTTTGGGGTGCTACCTACGCAAAAGGCCAAGACGGTCTATTAATATAGCTTTGGGAGAGTCAATATTTGTTGCACTTTGTTGTTGTTTATGTACTGTAGCCGCACTGTAGGTCTTCTAAGAGCTGCTATTTTGTTCTAGTAGTACTTTACTTTGCTTTTGTTGTTAGTAACTTTCGATTCTTCTCGCCATGCTTTTTTGGGAGTGGAGACGTATTGTGAGGCAAAAGATCCGTGCATCCGTTCCTCGTCCAGTGCTTACGTACCAACAGGTTCGTATTTATTTTGCATCTTTCTTTGCAACTTTATATCTATCCGTTCTAAATGTGTTTGATTCATGAATGTTAAGTGGGCAAAACGTCGCCTCGTAATCTCATTCATACTATTTTTTATTGGATGGAAAGCTTTTGGCGTTACCCTAAGTGATATGGTGTTATGGACTGTGGACGAAAATTCCGGTGAAGGCCGTTTTGTGACACCTGTGGAGGGGAGGGAACGACGGTATGGTTCACTTTTATTAGTTTTCTTCGGAGGTTACAAGAACTCTAAAAGTTCGTTAATACGGGTTTGAGCTTGTTGGAATGATTTTATGAGTACGATCTCATGTTATGTTTAGGCTTGAGTCAGAACGTGCTCGGAATCGTCGGCTACGTAATACGCAGTCCTTGCCTCAGTTCGACTTCGATGATTAATTTTACCAAATTGCGGTCGGATCTTTGCCTTTACGTATCAGTGAGAATAGTATTTAGCTTGTTGATTGTTGTCCAGGTTATCATTAGAATAAACGTTATGATACTCACAAGACTTATTCACGATTATTTGGAGAAGTTCTGGAATATTTCTTGTAGATCTCAAATAGTTATGCATGATTTTATTCAACCCCTATTGAAGTGTTATTGATGAATGGACCTGTTCATCGAGATTTGTCATTCAAGTTAGACGATCGTCAGATTCATTTTTCTATTACGCAACACGGCAATTTGGATTTGGTGGTTGGTCATTAGCTGTAGAGTTTCTTTTTTGTTGAAATTAGTATAAAATCTTATCGATACTTTGGAACAAGTGTCAACTGCTCTGTACTATTCATACAACTAAGTTGTTTGGCTCTATACTAACTTAACTTTAAGCCAACTTCTAAATTAACTGCTAATTTTTTACGTGGTCGAGCTATCTCATGTAGTAGGAAGTCAAAGTCTGCCCAGGTCGTCACCACCACAGGCAGTCGCTACCTTTGTAGATCAGGGGTTTGCCGCCATGCGACTTTGATACCAGGACAGTGATGGATCTCGGTATTGGTTTACTCTTAGCTAGGATACCTGATGGTATCGCCGAGTTCTTCAGGTTGCAAGACCCTGCCAAGGGGATGGATCTCCCAGCTGTACATCGCAGTCTGACACACAGGAACACCTACTAGCCACGAGGAGGCGGTAAACTGTTGGGAGCGGCGTTTTTCACCTGTGGATTAATCCATCCTTCTATTTAGTGATGCCATTGCAACAGAGTTGTAAGGTCACTATGTGATATCGTAGAAAGTTTACGTAGTTCCAGCGAACATAGATCGTTGGCATTTGTACACCACTATGTTTGCTATGCTATCGCAAGAATACTAGAGCCAAATGTTTTCTTAGTTGAGCGTGTTAGATCATGTAACTGTCTGAACACTTCAGTGATGCTGAGGTATTTGCAAAACTCCGGACCGCAGATGTCTACGGTGGGGAACGAGCGCGTAATTACCCTTTCCGGGTGATAACGCGTTCACCACGACACCATACGGGTCCCTCGTTTCGCCTGTCTCTCAGCTAGTTCTATCGATCACTTGCCATCAGCAATCATCCTTCAACGGGATTGATCTGGGGAGCCCAAATCGGCATTGAACCCAGTTAAGGTGAGGCTATAGTTGTAATCGGGTGATCGTTTGGCGTTGACGGGTGATTGCTGAACAGTAAATAGAAAGGTTGAGATTGTCTGAAGACCTTTTTTAAAAGCTAGAAAACTTTCTTAAGGACAAAATGTTGAAGAAGGAAGAAAATGTAGTGACGTCTTTCCAAATGAAATTATTTTCTGTTTGAAGATGGGCTTCAAAAACCGTTGTTACCTTGTTGTGGTGAAGCACACAATTGACAGCACTGTTCAGGTTTTTTCTTCATTGGGACGAATAGGCCAGATAATTGAAGTAATATTTCCTGAAACCATCATCACCGATTCACTTCCTGCCCATCAACGGGTTGAATACGACTCGAAATTGTTACTTGGAAGCGACGAGGTCATAAATTTGAACAATGTCTTATGTTAGCACTTTCCTATTTGTTCTCTTATTAATATTACGAATGTAGGCTAGTGTCGACCTGTTCATTCGTCGTCTCGTTCTGCAACTTGCGTCTCTGGGTAGAAGAAGACGTCTTATAGTCTCTATAGGTACAAAATATTCATGACACAGAAGCGTTCAAATAGCTTCACTACTTTAGGCTTTGATGGTCTTTCCGATGACGATATTGCTGCGGCTTTACAGCAAGTGCAGGATCGATTTTAGGTATGCAATCCCACACTTTATATTATGTCGCCCTTGGCAGTGACCTTTTTTCAGAAGATATTTGTCGAGCCAGTTGAGTCCTGTAAGTGCTAAATCAGCTACTGCTTCCGAGAAAAAGAAGAATATTTTTCTACCCCGTACGTCATTTGTGAATCATGTGAAATCATCAAATCGTGGAGTTCTAGACCAACAGTTGGCGGACTCTGGAGGGCTGACGAGTTTGTACAATTGGCAGCTCCAAGAAAATTCTCGTAGTGAAATGTGAGTCGTTGTCTGTTGTGAGTTGTTATTACTTACTTGCTTGGATGGCCCGTCCTCATTGGTTGTCCGAGCTCCAGCATAATCTCCACCTTTTCGAAGATTTGTTGGTTTAGCCATTGTGGTTCGCTGGAATCCCGATGTCAATCTGGCCGAAATCTGCCCCATGTCGTCAGCACCTTGGGCAGTCGCGTCCCTTGTGGATCAGAAGGTGACTTGTCACCATACGACTAGTTTGATACCAAGACGGTGGTAGATCTTGGTATTGGCTTACTCTTGGCTAGGGTTCCTGATGGAAACGTCAGACTCCTTACCTTGGGAAACCCTGCTGGAGGGATGAATCCCCCGCTACACATCGCAGTCCGACACCCAGGAACACCTCCCGGCCACGATGACGCCATAAAGCGTTGAGAGGTGAGTTATTTTTACTATTATACGCATGATACAGATACTGAGAATGATGCAGTGCTGGTGGCAAAGTCATTCATCTCCAATCCGGTCAAGATATTCAAATATCTGTGGAAGTATTTGTTTAATACTTCAGATTCGAGCTACTCGATGGTCCTCCGTATGCCAATGGCGTGGTCCACGCTGGGCATGCAGTTAACAAAATTCTGAAGGATTTCATCGTAAAAAGTCGAATAGCTCTTGGATATCGGTTAGCCCCTCTTGTTTTATAGTAACAATTAGTACTCTGCACACGTTTTTTTTTTCTATCATTTTAGAGTTCGATTTCGGCCGGGTTGGGACTGTCATGGCCTACCGATTGAGATGAAAATCAGTAAAAACGCGAAGGTATCTTCTAACCTTCTAATCAGTCATACATCTGTTTCCAAACACCATTGTTTAGGGGAAGTCTGCATTGGAAATTCGTGCACTTGCTCGCCAGTTGGCGACGGAGTCTATTTTAAAACAGATGAATTCCTTCAAGTAGGTCGACCATGACGCAGCAAGTCTAGATTTTTTTTCTTTTTATTAGGAAGCATTCAGGCGTTGGGGTGTCTCTGCTGCGTGGACGCGTCCATATCTTACCATGGATTCGGTATATGTAGCTGAACAACTGCGCCTGTTTGCGAAGATGATCGAGAAGAATATTGTCTATCGCGACTTTAAGCCCGTTTACTGGTTAAGATTGCTCCACTTGGTTTCTTTTCAGTTCCACCAATCTTATCGTTTAGGTCACCGAGTTCCCGCACTGCTTTAGCTGAATCTGAGCTTGAATACAATGAAGAGCATACAAGCACTGCCGTTTTTTTCCGCTTCAGAGTATGTTGTTTCGGTAATAGCTTATGAAATTCTGCCTTGTTTATATTGCTAGAGCTTTACTTTAGATAATAAATATAACACCTGAAGAGCTGAATATAGCCGCCGGCAAGGGATCAAAACCAATCGTTATTTATTCCTTGGTAAGTCCAAAATCTATGTTTTTTAGGCTATTTGATTGGTTCCTCACTTGTCACATTTCATTTCCCAGAAAATTTTTCGACCTTCTGTTTTCCATATTTTACAATTTGTCTACGTAGAGTGCCACAGGCTCCATATGTTGTTCTTGCTTTCTTAAAACACTGGCACAACTTCTTCAGTACAGCAACTAATACACTCTTGTGCCATCGCGGATATCCTGATAGCACAATTTCTCGCAATTCAACTCTGGTACCAGTTTGCCGACACCAGTAGAGCTTATCTTGCGAGATCAAACCAATGGCCACGTGTCTATTTCCTATTTCAGGGCGTCTCCAACCTCTGCGGTACACGCGCGGGTTCAGGAGCCTATTCTAACCAAATATTATTTTTATGTTGGTGAACACGGTGTACTGAACAGTGCATGCTAGACATTTATAACAATTTAATGAATCGAACAACTGCAATATATCGCTCTGTCTTGCAGGTTTGGACCTCAACACCTTGGACTCTTCCTTTGAATAATGCTATCTGCATTTCTCCAGACTCTTATTATTTGGCTATTTCGTTTGATGATAATTCAAAGTGAGTGGGTATAGTTTCCTGGTTTTTCCCTGTGGTAGTGTGTTTTTCCGTTTTCAGAGCCCCAATTTCTGAGTTATATATTGTGGCTGAACCACTGCTTTCACCAATAACCGAAACAACTGGACGGTCGGTAACAGTAGTGGGTCGGTTTCAAGGGAAAACCTTGCTCGAAAAACATTATAAGAGCTGCTGGTTGGTTAATTTTCTTGCTACTTTTTGTAGAAACCACTGTTTGCATCACAACATCCTTTCTTCACCAGTTTCAAAATGTCTGCTTACACGTGGTTTCAAGAATGAGTTACTTTGCATAACTACAACACTGCATCGAAGCAGCGTCGCTCGATTTTCCAGGCATCCCGAACTTGCACTGCCGATATTGGCTGGTACTCATGTAACGATGTCGATGGGAACTGGTCTCGTTCATACTTCCTTTGCCCATGGATTTGCCGACTATGAAGTATCTCTTATTTCCCTATTGTTGTGGCCAAAAAAAGAATTCATTTTTGCGCTGATTTTGTTTCATCCACACTTTCCTCTCAAATGATTTGTCATCATTTTGTGAAAACAAGATTGGAGAAGCACTTTTCTTACCTGAAGTCCTTCCAGAGGTTCCAAATATGCAAGTTAATGGGGGTCCTTCGTTTCAGATTGCAGTGGCTGGTAATTATAAGGTCGAGAGTTTTGTAGATGAAGATGGCCGATACACCCGACACATGGGTGTTGATCTTGAAGCTAAAGATGTGCTTGACGAAGGACAGCAAGAAGTGCTTAAGTTAGTTCACCTGACTTCCTTATATAGGTTTTTTTCTCAAAATAGAGAGAAAGGGCAGTATAATCTGTATATGAAATTCTCTGAGAGAAGAATTACTCTACAGCGAACATAATAAGGTGTCCAACATAGATAACCTTTGCTAATTTACGTTGGTTCTCTATCGTCTTAGTTCTTTCCTAGAGCTTTTCTGTTTTTGACTACTGTGTACCATTGGTTGGTGACCACCCAACGGTTTACCGCCTCATCGTCGCTGGGAAGTGTTCCTGGGTGTCGGACTGCGATGTACAGCGGGGGATTCGTCTCCCCCCCCAACAGGGTCTCCATAGCTAAGAGGGAGTCCGGCGTTTCCATCAGGAAACCTAGCTAAAAGTAAACCAATACCAGAATCAACCACCATCCTACTACCAAACTGCTCTTATGGTGGCAAATCTCGCTCTGATCCACAAGGGCGGCGACTTCCTGTGGTGATGTTGTCCTGGGGCAGACTTTGGCCAGACTGTCTTCTGGACTCTAGGTAACCATAAATGACTAAACCAGCAAAACTTCGAAAAGATGGAAGTTATGCTGGTACCCGCACAACCAGTGAAGACGGGCCATCCAAGTATCCAAGTATTTGTTGGTGATCTTTTCGGTGTAAAATCCATAATGTCTAAATAAACATTTTTAATCACTACGAATATGAACGTGCAACTATTTTAGGATACTTAGAAAGGATGTGGTTCATCAAAGCAAATACAAGCATTCTTATCCATACGACTGGCGGACGAAAAAAGTACATCCTTAAAGTGTTTCTTCTTTGTAGATGCAAATTTCTAAAGTAATGTTTCCTCAATAACTATATCGTTTATTGTACCAAGAATAATGGATGATTATAAGTCCTTTTAAATTTGGTGAATTCATAAAGAATATCCTAGCCTGTGATAATACGTAGCAGTGCACAGTGGTTTTTCAATGTTTCTTCGGTTGCAAAGCGCGCGACAGAACTCGTGGAAGGAATTCAAGTTGGAACTGATGATTCTGGTAAGCTGTAGTGTGAAAGATAGTTTATTAAATGGTTATTACTCATTGAGGTCTAGAAATATATTCCATATCTTACAGATCTGAGAGACACGTTGTCCCGAATGATTTCATCCCGTCGTTCATGGTGCATCTCTCGTCAGCGTGTGTGGGGAGCACCCATTCCTGCACTTATCGGTACAAATGGTGAGCGCTGTGCTCGTTTCTAAGAAGAGTTGCAGATTTATGCAGGTTCAATGTGGCATGAATGTTCATTTCAGAAGTAGTAAGTGTACAAACGTGTATGAGTGCGAGGTTTTAGGTGAATTTTAAAAAAACTAATAATCTCTACTATTGATGTGCAATTTCAGGTGAGGCTTATACCTCGAAGGAATTAGTGGAGTACGTTGCTGACCTAGTAGAAGAAAAGGGGGCCGATATTTGGTGGAAATACTCCGTTGAAGATTTTTTAACTGAAAAGGTGTGTGGGTAGCTGTGTACTTTAATCCTTTAGTGGTATTTTTATCCCCATCCCATTCACGTTGATGGGAATCGTTTGTGATTCATTTTCTTCCTGACCGTATGTTTGACCCCACGGCCTCTATTTTCTACACTCCATCATATAATGGACGATACGAAGGTATAGGTTAGTATGTGATGGCGGATGCGAAAAAATAGAATTCACTTCATTTCACTATGTTAAAAAGATAAAAGCTCTCGGCGTTGATCAATCCCTGAGGGATGCACCACGCATTCGGCTTCATTAAGCATCGTTGGATGTGATTGAATGCATATCTGACCTTTACAATGACTTGCGGTGGCCTACTGATGTGTCGAGTCAGTGCTGCTATCCTCCCAAACAAGTCTGGTACCAATTTACCGACCTCCGAGAGATGGAGGGCTGTGTGGACTAGGGGCGCGGGAATCGATACCATGTGTGTTGCATGGCGCCTCCGACCACTGCGCTACACGCGCCTTATTTCAGTTTATTGCAGAACTTTTTCATCACAATGTTTACTTTTTTGTTTATTGCCTACTGCAATTTTCACTGCAGAGTATTATGTGAAGTCAACCACATGATTTTGAGATATTCGCAAAACTTGGATCCCGCGTCAGATCGAACCGCGACCTCGGAAAGGGAAATCGTGGTTCAATCTGGCCCGGGTCCAAGTTTTTCAAATATCTCAACATCATTGTGGTTGATTTTTCATCACATTTTACATATTTATTCGCTAGCTAATGGAAAGCAGATCAATGTTGCTTGGTTTGGAGCAAGAAAGATATTTTGTACACTTAATAGTTTACAAGAAACTTTGTGGACGAGTTAATTTCTCGAGCTTATACCTTAAAATACGACACTTAGACGTGGTCTGTAGAGAAGAGAACGAATCATTGGAAAGATTCTTATATACGTTCTTTACATTGTAAATACACTGTTGGCGTCATCAGAATTACGAATATATCTACGAAGCCCTGAGCATCAATAAAGTGCACGTCAGCGATGTTGTTTATCGCATTTCATGTTTGAAAGCAGGCTTCAGTTCTTACTCTTATAATCTTTCATTATTGTTTCGGAAAGAGTGTTGCAAGCATTTATTTCATAATCTAAACCTTTAAAAATTCACCAAATAACCGTTTTAGAGAGGTCAGAGGCTTGGTTGGGATGAGCAAGGTTGGGTCAAACACCATTCGTGGAATTCCGCATTTGAATTCTAATCGACTATATGGATACTATCCCTTGACTTTAAGTTACCACATATATTCGAAGGAGGAACGTTTGATCCAGTCTAGCTCATCCGAACCAAGTTCCCGATCTTTGTAAAAGAATTATTTGGTAAATTTTAAACGTTTTAGTTCATAAAATATTGCTTTCAATACTATTTCTGAATTAATAGTGACGGCAATACATGTCATATAAAAGGCACAAACATCGACTCAAGCCCTCCAAGTTATATACTTCGAGTCTGTAATGTATGCGGGAATAATGTTTATGCCAGTAGATGCAAATTAAATACTGAAGGGTGGTTGAAACAATAGCGGTAGGACCCGTACGTTGAATCAAAGGAGGAGACAATACTACACAAGTAATTACGAGTGTCTTTTGGCGCAATACAAGCAAATGAGTGTAAAAACACTTATTTCATAGACCACAACGTAAGCAAATAATCCCTGCTCATTTGCAACCAACGATATACAATCAACAACCGGAAAACAACTTTAAGTCTGCAGCACTTGTGCCATGGAGTCGTTGACTGAGATTATATGCAAGCAGTGGCTATAGATCGCTCATACCACAAGAAAATGACAAATAACTGGTGTCATACTTACACTATAAGAAGAAAGGGTTCGAGGAAATATGGGAAAGCAGAAATGTACACCAGCGTCCTCGAAATTCTATCTTAGAACAGTTGCTGTCCTCAAATACCGTCATATTCTTTTCTCGTCGTTTTATGTTCATATATTGTAATTATAGAATCTTCAAATCTTAGATCCTGTTCTAAAACATTTCGAATGGATGACTTCCCATATGTTCAGGTGCTGAAATCTTTGGGTGTGCAGACATCATCGAGTCTCTCGAAGGGCTGTGATATTATGGACGTGTGGATGGACAGTGGAGTAGCTTGGCATTGTGCTAGGAACGCCTTTGATAATTTTGTTACCGTAGTGAGTTGGAAGAGGTTTTTCAGGGTTTTTCATAGTGCATTCAGCAAAAGGCGGAATTGATCATTTAAAATGTAGTGATCACTAGTGTTTTAGGCATACTAGTCCGTGCTTTGAGTTTAGTTTTCTTTATTTATTTGGGCCTCCCAACGGTTTAGCGCCTCATCATGGCTGGGAGGTGTTGCTGGGTGTTGGACTGCGATGTACAGCGAAGGGATTCGTCACCCCGGCAGGGTCTCCCTAGCTGAGAAAGAGTCCGGCGTTTCCATCAGCAAGCCTAACTAAGAGTAAACCAATAACAGGATCCACCACCATCCTGGTATCAAAGTCGAATGGTGGCAAATTTCCTTCTGATCCTCAAAGGTTGCTACTGCCTGTCGTGGTGACGACCTGGGGCAGACTTCGGCCAGGCTGTCCTCGGAATTCGAGGTAACCACGATGGCTTAATCAGCAAATCCCCGAAAAATGGTGATTATGCTGGGCTCCGCACAACTAGTGAGGACCGGCTGCTTAAATATCAAGTGTTAAGTATTTATTTAGGTGTATAGCGTTTCGTACTTGATACTTGATACTCGAACGACCCCTCCTCACTACTTGTGCGGGCCTCAGCATAATCACCATTTTTCGGAGATTTGCTGATTAAACCATTGTGGTTACCTGGAATTCCGAGGACAGCCTGGCCGAAGTCTGCCCCAGGTCGTCAACACGACAGGCAGTAGCAGCCTTTGTGGATCAGAAGGAAATTTGTCACCATTCGACTTCGATACCAGGACGGTGGTGGGTCCTGGTATCGGTTTACTCTTAGCTAGACTTCCTGATGGAAATGCCAGACTCCTTCTCAGCTTGGGAGATCCTGCCGGGGGACGAATCCCCCCGTTGTACATCGCAACCCGACCCCCAGCAACACCTCCCAGCCACGATGAGGCGGTAAACCATTGGGAGGATAACGTTTTGTAGTTCATGAAATAGGGAACTACTATTTTCTCTAATGGAACTGATGACATAACGCTATTTGTGCTAAGTAAACAACTCTTGGGTTGTTAATGTGTTATATTTTTCAAACTTCTGAGGTCTTTCAAAAGCTATTTTACATCATTATGTTCTTTTAGAGGAGCATGTTTAAAAGGATTTTCCTTTCTTGAGTATAGCAAAAAGTCTTATGTCTTTCAGCTTCCAACCGATGGAGTGGTTGAAGGCGTAGATCAATTCCGTGGTTGGTTTCAGTCGTTACTTCTTACGTCTGTCGCAATCCAGGTTCCGCATTACATCCTGATTACTCATTGATAAGGAAGATATTTGCTTATTCCTAGTCATTAGGACGCTCTGCCTTACAAACGAATTCATGTACATGGGTTTTGTGTCGATGATAACAACAAAAAGATGTCGAAGTCACTTGGAAATGTTATTGATCCAGAAACAGTGAGTGTATTCTAAATAAAACGGCTTTCATCGGTAATTATCTGCTTTTTCAGATTACAGACGGTTCTCTTCGACAAAAAGCCTTAGGGGCCGATGGGTTGAGGCTTTGGGTAGCACTGTCTGCATCTGAATCAGTCGGCGCGTCAAAAATTGGCGAGAAAGTGCTGGCTGACATAGAATCCAAGGTGTTACAATATTTCTATAGCTCTTAAGACCAAATAGAGTAAAATATCACAGTTCTTGTTTACAAGAGAGCGAGGCTCTACAGCTATTTTGTTCATCTCTTAAGCGGTCCGTTCTGCTTATTACATTCTAAGTAGTAAATGGTTGACATCCACATTAGGTCCCGACCATCGTTCATTGGCTCGTTATAACACCTTATGCTATGCGAAAAGGTAATCAAGAGAGATTGGAAACAATATAATGTAAAGAAGAGTTGTTGGGGTTCCCGTCAATACAGGTTTTGTATCAAGTCTATTAATACAAAGGTGAAATTCCTCCCTTTATATGAAATCAATAACGGAGAGGTTTTTAGGCTGTTGTTCCTTAACAACACCGGTGGAGTAAAACCATTCAGCTTTTACCTTTACGGTTCAAAATGTATTCGAAATGAAAAGCATGAGAATTTTGCAGCGAATTTCATTTAGAAGCCTCACATGATATACTCATTATACGCAAAGTAACCACATTATTTCAAAATATGAGGATATTCTACTAATGGAACACTCCCAGCAGGGTTAACTTTTTATTTACTGCCTACTACAATTTTTCACGATAGGGTGTCATATGGAATTCAATGACAATGATGCTGGGATACAGCATGCACAGTATGTCCATGTTGTAACGGACGTTGATGACATGTGTATGCTGGAAAGAGGTTTAGGATCACCCGAACAACGTTGGAGCTCAAAAAATGTATCAGTTCCACAGTGGAAGGGGTCTTCGAGGTAGTCCTTGGTACCAAATAATCACTTGCTGGAAATAGTGTGTTCTTCCTTGTACGATTTTACCACACGTGACTTTTTGGTGTTATCACAGAGCACAACTTCAACCCTGGGTGATTAAACCGTTTATAACAATAATACTGCAGCATTAAAGATATGCGAACACCGTAACGATACAAGCGAAATATGGCAATGCGGTCAATAAGTGAGTGTAAGGCAATACATAAGAAGACGTTTAGAAGTGAGAGAGTACCTTTGCTATAGGCCGATGGCGTGATACAATGCGCAAGAGTAATGTAAAATCTAACAGGAATGGTATAGGAGGTTGGCATGTTAGAATACACATGTGAGGTTATAACGTTAGCCTATAGTAATAATACGAAAAGTTTTGCATATCAGAGGTACGTGTAAGCTAGTGATAACATTGCAACGAAGTCAGCGCATTTAACTGCCACGACCGACTTTCCATTAACCTCGGCATTGATCAAGTGATTTTCTTCGTATTTCTGTTGAGTAAACGCGAGGTGTTACTATTCCTTTTTCACGATTAAGCTGACGTTTCGGCGAATTTCGCCTTCTTCAGAGCCTGGAAAGGTCAAGTTGATAGCAACTCACCCGGCCAGACGCCTCCATAACCAAACAAAGAAACTCCAAACCAAGATTTCAATCACTTTGAACACAGCTCTGCACACTCACCGCTTTCTGTGAGGTTTCCACTAAGTATGTCACGTAGAGACCAACCGCACAGAAATCACGTGGAAGTATAATGTGCCTCGTAAAAAATCCACGATCCTCGCACGCGAATCAAGAACACAGGCGCGAAAAACTCTCGAGGCACTCTGGATTAATTCCAGAAATCCGAAAATGAACCGCAGGGAAGAATGCCTCATTATCACGCGTGATATAGGGCAATATATAAAACTGCTTTTCTGATGTAACGGGCACTTTATACTTCCATGTGATTTCTGTGCGGTTGGTCTCTACGTGACATACTTAGTGGAAACCTCGTAGAAAGCGGTGAGTGTGCAAAGCTGTGTTCAAAGTGATTGAAATCTTGGTTTGGAGTTTCTTTGTTTGGTTATGGAGGTGTCTGGCCGAGTAGATTGCTGTCAACTTGACCTTTCCAGGCTCTGAAGAAGGCGAAATTCGCCGAAACGTCAGCTTAATCGTGAACAATGAATAGTAACACCTCGCGTTTGCTCAATAGAAATACGAAGAAAATCAGCGCATTTAAGACTATAGGTAAACTTCTGATAGCATTAATTTATAATGACCGCACAGTGGGCTTAATGTATTAAAGGGTACATTACAGTTGAATGGGCTTAACGAACAGTAGCCGCCACGTATATGTACATTTAACAATTGGGACTTTCTTCATGAAATAAAACAGCAACGGAGATCTGATGATTTTAAGGATACTAACCGAACAAAGTGTACAATGATGTAAACTGTGCGACCAGTATACAAGCGAAAGGCATGGCGCTACAGTGCTTGAACGGTGTGGAAAAGGGGACAGAGTCGAGCCCATAGGCGATGTTGCCGCGTCTGGTGGGGTTCCCGGTGGTTATGAAAAGGTAACAATGTAAAGCAAGTACCCGGGCCATGGGTCACGTAATTTGAAATCCAGATGCGTCCATAATGATAATAAATAAGGTTGAGAGGAGGTGCTTACTCTATACACGAGAACGATGGTAAAATGGAGGCAGTTCTCTACAGGGTAGAGAGTAGTGTCCATGAAAAATCGATACACCCCAGGTTTATACATGTTCTAGCCGACATCATTTTTTCTCCTTTAGTGGGCAGGAGACTTGCAAGGCAGCATATGACATCATGGGCTCATGGTATGTTGTACATCATGTGCTCCAGGTTTTGGTGTTAGCCCACTGACGCTTTTTCTGAACTGGATATTATCCGGTTTATTTTATGGTATATTCAATATCTCATGTTAATAGGATTTGTTGCATTTATTTAGCGATGTGCATATTTATTGAACAGAGATTTACTTTAACTTGACATGGATAGTGGTAGCTACAGTGTTGGTAGCTCTCTCATTCAGCACTCTTTAGCGTTTCATAAGTTGCATAGGGAAAAAACACAAACAAACAAACAAACACGCATGCGCGCATGTACACACACGCACACACACACCGAAATACACACTAGGAATTTCGAAACATCGTACAACGTACTTCGATGTTGACAGGGTCATGCATAAACAATTGTTGGTTCTGTTTAGCGCCCACTGGCTAACGACATCCAGTTTCTTGGTCATTTTGCTATAGGCAGCTCGATGAATAAGTTGGCACATTCTAAATTAGTCTGATTAACACAAAGATTTTTTTGTTGATCAATATGTGGGCTACTCGACTGAAGTACGGAAGTTCGAATTACGGATAAAGCGCAGTTTCAAAACACTATGGTTCAAAATTTCATGAAATCTTGTTAAAACTTCAATCTTTAGTTGGTGTCAATCCGAAATTCGATGCGGTTTCTTCTTGGTGCTTGCTTTGGTTATGAAGGACAACGTCCAGATGGCATGCTTCCTCTTTTAGACCAGGTACATGATAGTTAATGCAGAATTATGACAGGTCATGAAAAGTGGATTATATATGCTATATCTTGGCTCACACAATTTTATCAGACTTGTTCATTGTAGTAATATAGTATTCTGAAGGTCTGGAGCTGACGAATTCATTAACCCTTAGCGCTCTAGTACCTCATTTCGTGGTTGGCCCAACCAAATGAGAGCAATTTTTCGTCGGCTTTAGATTTTCTGATTTTTTGACAATAATAAGTCTGTTTTCAATAATTAGTGGACTTGAGGGTTTTCGAAAATGACACGATTATAGAAAAGATTTTGCTCTATGGTTATATGAGTATGAATGATATGTGTGCTACTATTTATTATCTTTTACTATGGTCGACATTTCAATTGCATTGCTGTCGGCGTTTGATAGTATTTTGCACTTTATGTTGACTCTCCTTCGGTCAGAGTCGGAGCGGTTTCGAACAGATGACCATGTAAATTGGTCAGACATTTCTATCCATTGCTCTACACTTGAAGAAATATCTACATCTGTCAGACAGAATCATTACAACCTCCGCAGCTAAGCAAAAATAAGCTTTGATATGACAGAGAACAAAAATTAGTAAAAAAAAAATTGTTGTGAGATGAGAAATGGCTGTTGTTTTTGTATCAATCTAGTGCTTAGAAAAGACAATATAGAACATAGAAAATATAGAATACAATATATAGAATATGATGACAATGTAATGTAGAGAGTGCGTCGTTTTCATATTCAGCAATCGCGAGGTTGTTGTGCAGCATACATTTACTTCCATAGAAAAACACAATACAATACAACACTAGCTGACGTTTCGGCAGTATCGCCTTCTTCAGAGCCTGGAAGGGTATACTGATATACAATCTACTAGGCCAAACGCTTCAATAACATTTACAAAAAGACGAAAAACCTTCGAGTTTTCGTAAATGTTATTGAAGCGTTTGGCCTAATAAATTGTATTTCAGTATACCCTTCCAGGCTCTGAAGAAGGCGATACTGCCGAAACGTCAGCTAGTGTTGTATTGTATTGTGTTTTTCTATGGAAGTAAATGTATGCTGCACAACAACCTCGCGATTGCTGAATATGAAAACGACGCATTCATATTCCAATGCTGAGGTTAATAGAAAGTCGATCCTGGGAACTAGAACAACTAAGTTCTAAGCTCTTAAGCTTTTTATTTACTACCTATTCTTTTTAACAGCAGGGTATGTTGCGAAATATAACTACTATAATGTTGAGATATCTGCAAAACTCCGGACCACAGGTGTCTGCGGTGGGGAACGAACGCTCTGTTGTTCCTTCCGGGGAGTAACGCGTTCACCAATGCCGATTTGGGCTCCCCAGATCAATCCCGTTGACGGGTGATTGATGATGGCAAGAGATCGATAGAACTAGCTGGGAAACAGGCGAAACTCCTCGGTAAGGACAACAGCGCGTTCGTTCCTTTTTTTTGTTCAACTTTTAAAAAAGCTTTACTTGATTGCATTATTTTTTTATTTAACAAATAGAAGTACGTGTGAGCAGTTCATAACACTGTGGGGTAGTGGGAAGCAATGAAGAAATTCTTCCGTTTTAACTGCCACGACCGACTTTCTATTAACCTCGGCATTGATCAAGTAATTTTCTTCGTATTTTTGTTGAGCAAAGGCGAGGTGTTATTATTTTTTGTTCACGAATAAGTTGACGTTTCGGCGGATTTCGCC